GCCTGCGACTTTACAAGGCGCAGGTTCGGCCGCACATGGAATACTGTTCCCATCTCTGGGCTGGGGCTCCCCAGTACCAGCTCCTTCCACTTGACCGCATCCAGCGCAGAGCGGCTCGAATCGTCGCCGACCGAGTGCTTTCCGATCGGCTCGATTCACTGGCACTGCGAAGAGATGTTGCATCTCTTTGCATTTTATTTCGCATATACCATGGAGAGTGCTCTGAGGAATTGTTCGGATTAATCCCAGCCGCCAAATTTCGTGAACGCACTACGCGGCAAACGTCCCGATACCATCCACACCATCTGGATGCTTGGCGGTCCACCACAGTACGTTTCAAAAGTAGTTTTCTTCCGCGTACAACCTCTCTGTGGAATAGTTTACCACCGGCGATTTTTCCGGACCGATACGACCTGGGGACCTTCAAGAAAAGAGTTTACTCCTTTCTAAAGGGCCGGCAACGCACCTGCAATTCCCCAGGTTTTGCGGTTGATCATGGGCGGCGGTAGTCACTTAACATCAGGTGAGCCGCATGCTCGTTTGCCCCCTCTTCTGTAAAAAAAAAACTCATAACCAGTATTTTAATTTAGCATTCACCAAAGTACACCTTCATTTCGCTCCATAAAGTCCAAGACGTATAAGTATATTTATATATAAATCCTACGTACTTTTAGGGAAATAATAGGTATATTATAGGTATATAATAATGAAATTATTATTGTACGGACAAAGAAACAGTATTTAAAGCTCAAAAGAGATGCTTACGAGCCATTTGTAAAATTAACCAAAGTGAGAGTTGTAAGCCATACTTCATTAATTTAAAATTATTAACAATGCCATGTCTATATATATATGAGGTAGTCTTATTTGTACGTCAAAACTTAAGTTTTTACAAAAAACTAAATGTCCAGCGTCATAAAGATAAATTGAGCCATCCCAATAGTAAGACTGTTTTGTTTCAAAAAAGCGTATTCTGTATGGGTCCTCGACTGTATAACCATTTACCTAAATATATAAGAGATTCTAATGCCGGCTGTACACGCTCGTCGAGACACCACGAGACAGGCCTAGAGGCGAGCGTTATTTAACATTGTTCTTAAAAACTTCGCGTTTTTCTTTATAAATATTATAACATGTATAGTTTTCTTTGTGAATAAACATTTAAAGTGTATATAAATATTTAGTGTACATAAACAGACATATAATTGGTGTAAATAAATAATAAATATTTTTTGTATTAAGTTAATTTTTGTGTATTATGGGGATCATAATAATTATGTGATGTGATGGACAATAATACTTAAATACTTACATATTTTGTGACTGTATAAAATTGTACAAAGGTACTAATATTGATGTACGCGCACATGTTATAATACCTATAACCTGTTATGTATTCGTAATCATAAAATAACACAGTTAAACTAATATTATAATACCTACCTATAATATGTTAATATTTTCGTAATTATAACATAACACAAACGCAAAACTAACCTACGCTATACTGTATACATATGTAACTAATTACAAAAATAAGCAGTTTTGAAACTAGTTAATCATATCCACGAAACTACGTACAACCGATTACGTCCAAGACGTTACGACCCATGTCTAGACAGGGCGAGTACGAGTGTGTACAGGGTGCTCTCGTCGCGTCGCGTCGCGTCGCGTCTCGTGTCCCTCGTGCGCTCTCGGAAGCGTGTCGGTTTTTTGCGCTCGAGTCAAAGGGTCTCGTAGGTATCGCGACGAAAACCGAGAGCGAATGATATTACTTAACGTGTATAACATGTATAATCAAGCAGAAAAATGCAAACTGTATTATGACATTTTAATATGTAAAAAGTCAAAGGTCGACATTATAACTACACATCAAAGTCTCTACGAAAACGTACTTATATATAATCGTTAGGTTTTAATTGCTGCTAAAGAATATTCTGTATTTTGTGTACACTTAGTTAAAGAGGTAAAATATTTTGTATTTGTAATTTCTGTTTTGTCTCAAGACGACATACGTGATTTTATTGTTAATAACTTTTTTTGATGATAATGTATAAAGAAGTGTAATACACTGTAAGAAAGTTTATTAAATACAGTGTTTAATGATATTATTGATTTTTTTTAATTTCATTTAAAATATATATGTACTTAAATTTATGAAGAAACATGTGTTTTTTCCGGGACTAGTTGAACCTCTCTTTTTCTTTACATAATTACAGTCATCTTTCAATAGATCCTGCTAAGTTTTACAAATCTCATAAAATATTTCATACTCTTAATACCGATATCAATATTTAAGTCTTAAGTGCCAGGTTTATTGAATAATTATTTACTTTATTTTTATATATATATATATATATATATATATATATATATATATATATATATATATATATATATATTTAATATATTATATAACAGGTAGTCGCTAACACTTTCGATATCGATAGTACGCAAGACGACACAGTTATGTGCGCGGGTGACTGGACGCAGGGAGACACTACTTGGAGCTAGCGCGTCACCCGTTGCTATGGTTTCGCTTCCCCGTATGTCATACCGCACCGCACTGTTCATCTTTCGTGGCGCAAGCCGCAAGCTATACACTATTCTATTCACCGTACATGGTACTGTTACGGTAAATTAATAGAAACTATCCACCATCTCCTTCTTAGCAATGGGTTATTAATTTTATTTTTAGTAAATGTGTAAAAAATATAATAGTTCAAAGGCAAAACGCAGCAAGCGGGCATATGGAGTTCAAACTTCAAATGATACAACGAGTTTGTACATGGTGTGTTCTCCGTCGAGCCTTTACGTGACGAGAGGCACACGAGGTGACGGGATGAGCGTGTTCAGCCGCCATGAGCTACATACATCTAGGGTTGCCAGGTCTTTAAACCGAGAAGCCGAACAGACCATCCAGCTTTGCCAGACATTTTGGTAAAAAAGGCCGGACACCCTTAATTATTCAGTCTTAGTATAACACGATAATATATTTTTTAAAGTAAAACAATGCTAACCTTATATCATTTACTACAAAATCTTAAATTAAAAGAATCAGTGTTCTTTATTATTAATCATTCAATATTCATCACAATATTAGTTGTATTGCATGGGTGTATTTAAGTACATGAAAAATGTAAAAAAATGGTCAAATATAAAAAGCCTGACAAATGCCGGACAGGCCTGGACACCGTCTAATTTGGCCGGACACGCAAACAAAAAGCCTGACTGTGTCCGCCTTTATCCGGACGCCTGGCAACGCTACATACGTCTGTATACAATAAAGTATAGCGTAAGTTAGTTCTGTGTTTGTGTTAGGTTATGATTACAAAAATATTAACAGGTTATAGGTATTATAACATTAGTTTAACTGTGTTATGTTATGATTATGATTACGAATATATAACATTTTATAGGTGTTATAATTATAATATGCGCGTGACATCGTCAATATTAGTACTTTTGTACAATTTTATGGTCACAAAATATGTAAGTGCCTAAGTATTATTGTCCATCACATCACATAATTTTTATGATCCACATCTTGCGTGTAAGCCATTAACTATCCCGAAGGGACTCTTTACTCTCGTTGTGCGAGTCGTATATCGTGTTACGTACCTACCTATATTCATCTTAATAATAATCTGTTCAAAACGAAACGCTTACGCGAGCGCCGGTCGTGGTGTGTCTCAACTGCGTACGTAAAATAATCATTACATTTTGTCCACGAAACTGGGTATACGATTATCAAGCTCGTAAGCAGTTTCTGAAACCGATAATGTTAAATAATGCTCACCTCTAGGCATGTCTCGTGGTGTCTCGACGAGCGTGTACAGCCGGCATAAGAGCTTTCACATTTTTAAGAAACAACTAAACACATTTTTAACCATAAAAGCGTATTATAATATTGACGATTATCTATATGACAATTTTTAAATTTTAACTATCAAATTTATTGAACGAAACGTTATCTATGTTATTAATTTTGAGACAATTTACGCCTACTCGTTTTGACATTATTACTTGGACATTACAATTTTAATTATTACATGTATTTTATCATTATTTTGTGAATTATTATTATGTTAGTAGCGCAAATATACAAATAGGGTTATATTATGTTAATGTAATTATCGGCATTTTCCATTTAATTTTAATTATAAATAAAATCTAATATTTAAGTAGTTTGCATACCGAAAGGTAGAATATGGCTGTATTTTGTTAAATTATTAAGACCTATTGTAACCCATATATCGCAAATGAATAAAATGAATTTGAATTTGAAATTTGAAAATCTGTGATTATAATAATAATAATAATATGTTATCTTGTTCAAGTATGTATTATATCAAATTTAGTTTTTGGAATATTTTGTATTCCTACAGCGATCGATATTTTTCATCACAAGCCGCTGTAAACAAATGATACAGTAAATTCACTCACAACGGCTGCCGAGCCCGCAGTAAGTGGACAGTGTATCTGTATTGAGTAAAATATAACATTATTACAAGGCTGCGCAAACACAGAAAATTTCAGATTTTTTCAGCCGTATAAAAATTAATTATACATAAACAAAATAAAATTAAACAGCCAATTTACATTCCATGACTTCCCACATGATAGATGAATAGATTAAAAAATAGATTGAGTTGAACAATGGATATTTTCAAGTTATTGTGTTTACCCCTTCATGCGGACGTGATAAATCTAAACTATAAGCCACTAAAACCACTTTATTAATGTAAAAATTGCAATTAATTGACTTAATAATAATAATAATAAAATGGCGTAGGGAATTGACGACCCCATCGCCCGCTGACGTAACAGTTAAGTGACAAAACTGCTACGTCAACGCAGTCAGTCAGCGCCTTGCGAGAGGTGTGAGCGCCGTGCCTCGGTAGAATTCAGGGTGCAAAGGCCCGTTTGTGCTTATGGCCGTCCACGATACGGTGCCGGGCCTGGGCGTCTCCCGTTAATGGACGCCCATATTATGGATGATGGAGAAAAAGATAGTGCGCAAAGGGCCGCTGCCTGGAGGTCGCCAGGGCGCGTTTGGAGCTGGCGCTGGACGCGACAGCATGCGGGCCGCCAGCCGAGCGCGGGGTGTTGCAAGACCACCTAGCAGCCCACCGCATCCATCATCCCCACCAGAAGGCTTGGTGTCGGCTGGGTCTTCTCGGACTCAGCAAGCGGCACCCGCCGCTGGTGGAGCACGTCGCATACGTTGGTCTAAATCAATGAATGAAAACGCACTGCGGGCGTATTTTAGGGCAAAAGGGGAAGAAACTGGATGTTTGGCGTATCGGGCTCGGATGCATCGCTTTTTTGCAGAGCTGGAGCCATCTCTATCCGTCACTGAGCAAAACCTGGCAGACCGAGTTAGGTACATCCTGCGCTCCAACATATTTGGTGACGCCGAACTCGAGCGACTACGACGTGAGGCTATTCCTTCATCGAATGGAAATGCTACGGCTGGGAATGCGGCGCCACTAGATGCGCAACAAACTGCATATGTGGATGCTGCCGTAAACATTCCATTTGTGGCTAATTCAGACGATGATGGAATAGTCTCCCACGAACTAGAGAAAATGAGGAGCATATTGGAAGAGTCGATGCTGGAAACGCGCAGCATGCCTCTCGAAAATCAACCGCGACTTCCCCGCATACCCCTTAGCAAGCGAAATCGGGCTGTCATGCGGGCTCTTAACCCAATGCTGGTGACCTATTTGGAAGCCAGCCGGGACCTTTGCGAGACGGATTCAATTCTTTTTGGCGCCGCACTGGCAGTATGCCGTATTATTGGCGCCAAACTTCCCGTGGCTGGACGTGCTACTCAAAAAAGTAGCGCCATCCCAGCCTGGAGAAAAAGAATTCAGGACCGTATCGCAAAGGCAAGGGCCCTTATCGGCAGACTGACAAGCTTCAGGGCGGGTAATAATAGACCGAGGATTATGCGCACCGTTAGGATGGCGTTTGCTGGGACAAATATCAGTTTGTTCCAGCCGGATATCACGCAAAAACTAACGGAGCGCATAGATGACCTGAAGCAAAAAATCGCTGCTTGGGGGAAGCGGATTCGACGATTTAGCGAGAGGTCAAGGCGGTTCAACCAGAATCGTCTCTTCCAGAGTGATCAGAAGAGGCTCTATAAATCATTGGAGCGACCAGAGGTATGTGGAGCGGGCCCAGGACCGGATCAGGCTGACACTGTCGCATTTTGGCGTGGCCTGTGGTCAGAGCCCGTAAACCACAGCGAGGGCCCTTGGATGGAAGTTGTGGCGAGCCAGAGTGCAAGTGTTACGCCTATGGACCCCGTCACCATAACGCCTGAAGACGTGGCTGAGGCGGTCCGTAGGGCCCCGAACTGGAAAAGTCCGGGGCTCGACGGGCTGCATCATTACTGGCTGAAGGGGTTCGTAGTGTGTCACGCTGTGCTCGCCCGACAGTTTCAAGAGGCTCTCGATCAGAATCGCTCCCGAGCCTCTTCACTACTGGGATCACTCATTTGGTTCCTAAAGATCAGGATACCACAGACCCGAGCAAATACCGCCCCATCACGTGTCTACCCACCATATATAAGACACTGACATCCATTTTGAGCGCGAGAATCACTCGTCACCTGGAGCTAAATCTGGTGATGTCACGCGCTTAAAATGGATGCCGGGGCGGTGGTCGTGGAACCAAGGAACCACTCCTCATTGACGCGGTCATTGGCAAAGTGGTGAAACGCAACCGTCGGAATTTCTCCGCCGCCTGGATAGACTACAGAAAGGCATTCGACTCGGTGCCCCATACATGGCTAAAGAGTCCTTCAGCTGTACAAAATTGACTGTACAGTTGGAGACTTCCTCGAGCAGTGTATGGGGCAATGGAGTACGATCCTTTGCTATCTGGGCGAGCGGATGATGGCTGCGGAGAACCACATAAGGATAAGAAGGGGTATCTTCCAGGGCGATTGTCTGAGTCCAATCTGGTTTTGCCTCTCCCTGAACCCTCTCAGTACTTTACTGGAGGGCTCCGGGAGGGGATTTCAGCTTCGGAAAGGAGGTACAAAAGTGACCCACCTTTTCTATATGGATGACCTCAAGTTATTCGCCTCCAGTCGCTCCCATCTTATGGAATTGCTAAACATCACTTGTGAATTTAGCAATTCTATTGGAATGGAGCTGGGAACGGATAAGTGTGCGGTCCTCCATGTTGAAAGGCGGAGGGTTGCTAACTCTGAGGGCATAGACTTATCTATGCCCGTCAACTTAAGGACCCTTTCCGAGGCTGAAACATACCGATACCTGGGTATGTCACAGAACATCGGTATCGAAGAGGCTGGTATGAAACAGTCAGTTTTAGACGTGTTTTATGCACGCTTGACCAAAGTGCTTAACAGCCTTTTGTCCGGTGTGAATAAGACACACGCATATAACGGCTGGGTCATGCCTGTCCTCATGTATACCTTTGGCATACTCAGGTGGACTCAGACTGAACTTAACGCCCTGGATAGAAAAGTCCGCACTACCATGACGTCCCACAGGATGCGTCATCCGAGATCGTCGGTAATGAGGCTGTACTTGCCGCGAAAGCATGGTAAGCGTGGCTTCTTGAGCGCGCTCACCATGCATAATCGCGAAGTGTGTCAGCCTCCGTAATTACTTCCTGGCGAGATCGGATGATCCATTCTATAAGGACGTCATTTCTAGTGATAAAGGACTTACCCCTCTATCCTTAGCCAACGAGCAATTGCAAGACCCGGCAGTGCAGACAATTTCCGACCGGGAGAACGTATGGAAGGAGAAGGAGCTCCACGGGAGGTTCTACAAGGCTCTACATGAGCCTTTCGTAGACACAGTAGCCTCCCTCCACTGGCTACGCTTTGGTGATCTCTTCGGGGAAACCGGGGGTTTTGTCTGTGTAATACAGGATCAGGTTATTAAGACCAACAACTATCCGAGATACATCCTAAAGGATGGCACCGTGGACATCTGTCGAGCTTGTCGCCATCCCGGTGAGTCACTTAGGCATGTCATCTCCGGTTGTTCGGCGCTTTCTAACTCTGAGTACTTGCACAGGCACAACCTAGTAGCCAGAATTCTTCACCAGGAGCTCGCTCTGAAATACGGTCTCATGGATCGGAAATTGCCGTATTACAAGTACTTGCCGGAAGCCGTGCTCGAAAATGATCGCGCCAGGCTCTATTGGGACCGGGCCATCATCACAGACAGGACTATTCTTGCGAATAAGCCTGATATTGTGCTGATGGACCGGGCACAGTCACTTGACTGAATATTTTTGGTCGACATTACCATTCCGTATGACGAGAACCTCGTGAAAGCCGAAACAGACAAGCAAACAAAATATCTGGACCTGGCTCACGAGGTGACTGACATGTGGGGTGGTCTGCCGACCGAAATTATTCCTGTAGTCGTCTCTGCAAACGGGCTAATCCCAGTCAGCCTCTCGGGTCATCTGAGGCGACTGGCAGAAGGCGGTGCTCCTCGATACCGCCCGCATCGTCCGCCGGTTTCTTTCCCTTTCCCCCTAACCCTCGGCCGTTTGGTCTCCCCTGCCGAGGGCCTCCATCTGGTTGGGCTTTTATTTATTTATGTATTTTTATATTTATTTTATGTTATTGATATATATGTATATTTATCTTTTCATTTTCATTTATAATTATATATTTATAGAACCCAACCAGCCGGGCTAGCATGAGCAGGGGATAAAAATTTTATCCACCGATTATATCCACTGACAAGGGATAAAATTGTCTTATCCCTATGTCAAAGCTTTATCCACCCTGCGAGCATGGGTCTATGGTGGATATAATATCGACAGTAGATAAACTTATCCCCGCGCATAGATAATATACGATAGCAAAGATGTTTTATAAAACATCTTTGTACGATAGTATAAAGCTATAAACTATACTAGCTATAAACTTCTTTTAAGATTAAATAGATTTACATTAAATTATATTTTCTTTTTACCTTTTGTTTATTATATTGCTAAACTGTTAATAATTTTTGTTAAACAATATGTCATTTATAATATTTGTTATATTTATTTTAAGCGTATTTCTGCCTTGTTTTTATTTTTTCTATTATTCTAATTTATTTCTTTATTTTCTTTTGTCAAATCGCAGGTATTACTTCGCTTGTGATAGCATTTATTAAAAAAAATATGTGTCTAGAATTAAGCCAATTGCGAAACTGGACAATACAGACCCTTTGGAGGTGGTGTATCCTCTTGAGGAAATTAAAAAAAAAATTATCCCCGCAATTACTGCCATTATAAGAAAATTACAAAATACATCAAAATTGATGTCTACTCTAAGTCACAAAGATTTAATTTTAATTGAAAATGATGAAGCATGAATAAAAATGTAATGATTTCAAACAAAACAAGGAATAAATAATTTTATAATCATGAGTAATGTGTTATTTGTATTCCTAATATTATGTATATTAGTCTTTAAACTTGTATTTACCTACACAAGAGGCTAATTAAAGTATATTGCTCCACACATTCTTATGATGGCCCCAATAACTTAGGTCAAGTATTTGCTGATTATTTGTTGTTTGAACAACAGCCATGCCATGGTCTTGAATCGTACCTCTCTAGTAGGTAACTACCATCTAGAAAAAATATTAAGATAAGTTACATAAGCCACATGTATTCATTGCAAATATACGATGTTTTTGGACAAGGTGGTTGTAATAGATGCTTACTTCAATATGCACTGGTAGTCCATCCACAGAATTAAAGCCTCATAGAGTTCTTTACACAAATACAAAACAATCTTTGAGCATCCGAAACCGGCGTAGAAATTCGTTGTCGGAGAATTCCAATAGATTAAGTATTCTGATCACGTATCGATCGCTGGTGTAATTTTCTTTCTTGTTTTTCAATTTCTGACACAAAAATGTAGTTGCAATAGGCTCGAGACATCTTTTTCGTATTAAAATGGTTTGAAGATAAACTTAAACCCACGTCCGCGAAAAGGATAAAATTGTCCCTTTCAAATGTCAAAAAGGGATAATTTTTTCTCTTTCCCTTGGCCTCATGCTACGGACGGGGAGAAATATGTCTACTCGTTATGTCAAACGGGGATATATTATAGAGATAAGATAATTTTATCTCTTGTCAGTGGATATAATCGGGGGATATAATTTTTGTCTCTTGCCCATGCTCGCAGGGTGGATAAAACTAAGCAAGGGATAAAAATTTTATCCCTTCCCCGGGGATATATTCTCTCCGGCTCATGCTAGCCCGGCAGAAGAGAAAACTATACAGATACCCCAAAAATAATAATAATAATAGTTCAACAATCATTAATCTTTCTGACAATATGATTTTTATATCATTTTTATATTTAATATGATTGTTACATACGATTTCATTTCGCTTAAGGTATGCAATAGTTCAAGAGACAGAAGGATTAATTTCTGATAGCAAACTTGCGAGTCAGTGGCGTAGCGTACCTTAGACGGGCCCTGTATCAAAATTTATTGGGGGGCCCAAATGAAAGGCTCAAAACCGCTCGCATTGAATTAAAATGATTCTATGTTAATAATTACTATTATTATAGGATTATTAATAGTAATTATTAACTTGAAGGAACTAAGCTAGCCAAACAATTCAAATCAAATATAAACTTTTCTTGTCTTGTTCGGCGAACTTAATAAGTCGGGGAAAAGTTTCTTCGTATTTTGTATACACATTTTTTTCTCAAAGTTTTATTACATTTAATTATAACATATGTATGTGCCATTTTCTTCGATAATTTGTTGCCAGATTGTAGGTAGATGACATGATCTCGTTGCTGTAGAAATTTTAGGATTTTTTATCAAAAAAAATGAGACAAATAGTTTTGACAGTCCTCTCTTGATGTTAACCGAACACTACCAAAAAGAATGCTGAAGAGACCGAAAAGGTAAACATCTGAGGGTGCAAGGTGAAGACTATATGGTGGACGCATTAACACTTCCAAACCAAACTCTCTCAATTTTTACTAAGTGGCTAAATATCTGTGTGGTCTGACGTTATCATGATAAAAGACCACTCCTTTTCTGATGATCATATCCGGCCGTTATATACTTATTCCGGCCGTATATACTTATATGTATTGGACTTTATGGAGTGATCTGAAGGTGTACTTCTGTATCTGCTATTGGAACTCCTCGAAGAGTTGAACTAGGTGTGCGAGTTTGGCTTCGTTTTGTTAGTTATGATGAGATCTTACCTCTGGACTTGATAGAGTGACCTGAAGGTGTAGTTTCGTGAAAGCTGAATTAAAATACTGGATATGACTAGATGAAAAACTTTTTGAAAACGAAATAAAGTTGATGAGAAAAATTAATTAACGATTCAAGTAAAAAAGACTAGTTTTAACGATAATGCCTGAGTACAAATACCTAAAAATTAAATTAATATTAAATTGATTTTTGATGATTGATTAATGAAAATTTCTGTCGTTTCGTCGTGATCGTTTTAAGATAAAAGATTTGTCAATTATCTAACAATAATATTTTTTTGGAACTCAATAATAATAACAAAGTTAAAAAAATCTATTGTTGATTGAGAATTTTTTTCTACATTTTTCACGATCATATGAGCATTATGAGTTTATGAGTTTTCGTTCACTTTTGGGTTTTCCAAACTTTTTTTGACGTTTGACTTAAATTATCGAAAAATTATAAGTAATAGTAATAAGGGTATTTGTGAAAACTTGTGTGTTTTTAAAATACTTTAAAAAATTGACAATATTATTTGAGCGCCATAAGGCATGCACATTTGGATTTACCAAACGTTTATTATTTCGACACCCAATATGAATAACATTGTAATTCAATGTGACATGGTTTACAGCATAGCCATTTTAATTTTTTTGTAAAGTTTATAATTTATTTGCAGCTGGAAGTATAGGTAGTTCTGTACAATTTTAGGTTTCATGATACTGATTGTAATTGCTTTTTCAATTGGTTTAGATGCCGTTTCGATAAATCTACTGCAAGTATGATTTTTGCAATGTTACAATATACAAGTTTTAAGCATTTTTAATATGAAAAGCATTGTAACTACCGCTACAATTGGATCACGAAAAAATTTGAAAGTTTTTTTCGGTGTATATTATTGTAACTTATTTTACAAATTGACAAATAGGAAATCTTTGATGAATGTTAATGTAAGCAGCAATTACAATGTGTATCAACGTTACATTGGGATAGAAAGACATGGTAAGTAGTATGTGAGAGATAATAATTAAAATCAATTTATAATATTTTATTCATTTTTAATAGGCTGCCAGCACAGATAACAATATTTAGTCTTCAATGTCGGAATTATTTGAAACGGTGTTTGAGTGTGGCAAGTTGGTATAAAAATGTCTATATTGCTCCGGAATTGCACCCCTGGAGCATAAGCTGCACAAGTCTTTGTACTTGTTTTGATTGATTGGGTGTAAGTTTTCATAGGCTCTAACTAAATTATGATCCCACAACGCAGCCAAAGATTTATTTATATTTTGACGTCTAGTCTTGACTTTGCGGTAGTCCAAATCTATCCAATTTAGATGATCGCTGTAAAAATCATTTTGAAACATTATAATGTTTGGCGATTCGAAATTAATTTTAATATGATTAACTTTTGACTACATAATTTTCTTTTTATCATTGTACAATTCCCAATTGGGAACTAAATTTAACAATGACTTAAAATCAAATATTTCATTTTGAGTGACGTCGTTCATGACGTAGGGTTTGTCTGTAATCTTAGCACAACGTATTAGTGTGTACCATTGTTGTGGTACATAAACAACTTGGTTTTTCTTACGTCGCTCTATAAGAGCATGCATTGAGTCCCCTTCTGATTAGGAATGCCCAACTTCAAAGAAGTTGTGTGTAATAACTACACCAAATATTTTTGAGGCGTAAGCATACATTAGAAATACAATTCGGTTTCTATTTCGGTCACCACAGCAGTCTGAATAGAAACGAAATTCTCCTATACATTCGGCAGCCTTCTTTTTTATAAAATCGAATAAGAAGGCTCTGCTGGTATCTCCGGTTCGTGCCTATCCGCGCTGCACGACGGATCGTCATTGGTAAGTATACCAACTTAATTTTGCTTCTGGTGCAAAGTTTCAGTCATAACTGGAGCTTTTAAGAGACTATAACTACTAGGTAAACACTCATTTTGATGCGAGGAGCCGATCAAACATGGTTCTAGTGGCATCTCTGGTTCACGCTTTTCCGGGCTGCACGACGGATCGTCATTGGTGAGTATACCACATAAATCAGGCTCCTGGTACAAAGTTTCAGTCATCACTGGAGTTTCTAAGATACTGGAACTACTAGACATAGGCAGATACACATGTTAATACGAGGAGCCGATCGAACATGGATTTAATAGTGTCTCTTGTTCCCGCTTTTCCAGGCTGCACGACAGGATCTCATAGGTGAGGAAGTCAGGTAAAGCCGGGTCTTAGTGAAACGTTTCAGTCATGGCTGGGCTTTTATTGATTGATTTTATTGATAATTTCGACCCAACAATATTAATATCTTCAAAGACTTGAACCGCAGCACAATCAGAGTCGGAAAAAATAAATGTTTTTAAGCTAAGTAGAATGTTAAAAAAGCTGTATATAAGAGGTTAATACTAGTGCCAGTTGTGACAGGCAGCTTTTTATATTAAATAAGCTTGAAGTTCTTTTCTTAGCTTAAACATTAGGTAAGGGTTGGCACGAATCTCAATGTTATCATTATTATAAATGAAGTGGAATGTAGATTCAACAAGTGGTAAAAAGTGCATGCTATAGCTTACAAAGGTGATAAAAGTACCTAAAACAGAGTTGTAATTTTGGTGTACAGGTCTTGAAATTGAAGCTAGCTCTACACCCAAATCACTAGGAGTAATTAGTGAATTAATTACCATTTAACTAGCGAAGTAACAAAAACACAAATCAAAACAATTGAAACTTTTAGCTTATAAATAAGATATAACGTGTAACGTGTAATATCTATGTTTATTACTTACCCATTGATTCCACAACTGAGACATCTTTTTTACGAAACAGACTCACCACAAGCTTCCCACGAGACTTCATTATCACAATAAATTTAATCCACATACAGTCACTATCACTGGAACAAAACTTCCACTGGCAGAAACCTGACAGTAATGGCGGTTATGTTTATGAATAAAAATATTGCTCGCTAACAATAACATGGCATATAATGATACTATTATATTCAAATGACGAACTCGAAACTTAGTCTCGATGTCAACACCGCAACTTTATTTACAATTATAACGTTATCAAACATTTTAGAAGAAAAACATTGTAATTTAAAATTACAACGTGGTCAAAGTAAAAACAGTCTAATAATTTAAATGTATAATATTGCATGTCCATTTGCAATGACTTTAACACAAAGAAACAATTGTTAATCAAACTTTTGTGTATTGCAACTTCATCTATAATTATACTTCGATGGAAAAACAGTACATTTTCTATTACAATGAAGTTATTCCATTTCACAAAAGTACTTCTAATTGTCAAAGAGATACGGTTCAAAGACCGAAATAAAAGTCTGTTCTTGCTGAATTCATATGACATAAATAAGTACCAACGTGTAACTACAGTTACAATGTTGTTCATATTGGGTGTCGATTTATTCTGTTGTCTAGGGTGAATAGATGAACACGCGTTTCCGCGTACCTATACACCCTAGGGTGAATTTTTTAAGGTGAGTAAATGGAATAACCCTATTGTTTCCAAATTATCGAAAAAAATAGACACTTCAGGAACACATTTGGTAGCATCGTTTATAGTCCAGGATCCATCGCCCATTTTTGCACGTGATTACTATCAAGCTAATTTTCCGTGAGTAGCTTTATTTTGATGAGACGCCCAATAATTTCCTGTATGAAACTCTCGATTGTGGTAGCTAACAGAAGTAGCAAGGATAAAATATGTTGATTTGATGATTCTCAAATATTTATTACTAATATTTTTTTTTATCGGTTTAGATTAAACAAAAGTACAACAACGGCCTTGACAGCATTTACAGATGATGTAAACAACTTGTTAAATAATAAAAATATCGTAGTAGCTCTGTTTATAGATTTCAAAAAGGCGTTCAATACATTGGAACATGAGTGCTTGTTGTAGGCCATGGATGAATGTGGAATAAGAGGTCCAGTGAAAACTTGGTTTAAAAAATATCTAGAAAATAGAAATATTGTTGTTCGTGTAAATTGAGTGGATAGTGGGATAGGAAAAGTAAAATGTGGTGTACCGACTGACTCTGTGTTTGGCCCGATCGGATAAATAATGCACGTCAACAGCATGATAAATGTCATCAAGAATTGTAGAACATACATGTATGCTGACGATACCTGCCTTGTGTATAGTGGAAAAAATAGTAGCCAGATACAGTTAAAAGTGCAGCAGGATTTAAACAATTTATTAAAGTGGTCCCACGACAATGGCATTATTATGAACTTGAATAAAATGAAATTTATGGTAATATCATCACCCTATAACCGTTCTAGAAAAACAGTAGATATAGCTCTTATGGGTCACACTTACGATTGCCTGCACACTGACCAATCGAGCTCTGTCTGCCGTTGTGAAAAGCTAAAGGTTAAAGATTGGTTATAGATAATCGTTTCTCATGAGACTTGCATGTTGAATTAGTGTGTAACAGGCTTAGGGCAGTACTAGGTAAACTGAATCATATAAAATATGTTGTGAATCGAGGAATCATGTATATGCTGTATTATGCCCTAGCAGACGCAACAATCGGATATGGCTTAGGTGCATATGGACTCACATTCCCAACATATCTTAACAATATAAAGTCTATACAGATAAGGTTTTTAAAGATATTAGTTGATACTAAAACGAAAATATCTATAGATAAAAATTATGAAATGTTATTTAAAATTTGCAAAATTATTCCCATAGACATGAAAGTGTAGTGGCGGTTGAGAATATCCACTACCCCATATCTTCCCGTGGGTGTCGTAAGAGGCGACAGAGGAAGACGGACAGGAGATGGCAGCAGCATATTCCTGATAACAACTGTGTTATAATAAAAAACTGCGGTTGCCAACCCGCTCGCCAAGCGTGGCAACTATGGCAATATACCCCCCTGAATAATGACGCAAAAAAACGGCCCCCAGTCCCCGGCGGCCCCGCTATTCCTGGATCCGGTGGCGACCATGGTAACGGCGGGGCAGGGGGTACTAAGAATCTCCGGTGGAGGTTCGGTTGCCACCTACGACGACTCGACCTGGCAACATATAACGCACGCACCCTGAGGACTGACGAGAAGATACTGGAGCTGGAAGAAGAGGTTGCGCTGGCATATTATTGGATTATCCGAGATCCGAAGAGAGGGGGGAGGATACGGCAATCCTCGAGTCCGGCAACTTGTTCTACCACCGGGAGGACGACCATCTGTCCCAAGGAGGTGTCGGATTTATCGTCCACAAGTCTCTCGTCAACAACGTTGTAAAGATTGGGAGTGTGTCGACGAGGGTCGCGTACCTGATACTCAGAATCACCAAACGGTATTCGCTGAAGGTCATACAGGTTTACGCACCAACCTCGGCACATCCCAATGAGGAGGTGGAGGAAATGTATGAGGATATTTCCAGAGCCATGCATTCCTCCAAAACCCACTACACGGTGTTAATGGGAGACTTCAACGCAAAACTGGGCACAAGAGAAAGCGGTGAGCTGAAGGTGGGGAAATTTGGAGTAGGGCAACGGAACCGAAGGGGCCAGCAGCTGGCCAACTTTATGGAGAAAGAGGGACTCTTTATGATGAACTCTTTCTTCCAGAAGCGGCCCCACAGGAAGTGGACCTGGTCGAGCCCCGACGGTTCGACAAAAAATGAGATTGACTTCATTATGACTACCAGACGCCAACTGTTCAGTGATGTCTCAGTGATCGCAAGGGTGAAAACTGGCAGCGATCACCGAATGGTTAGAGGCACACTGAACCTAAATGTTAAGTTGGAGAGGTCTCGTCTAATGAAGTCAACGCTCCGTCCCCCCTCGTGCTCTAATCCAGAATCCCGAAACCTTTCAGCTCGAGTTACAAAACCGCTTTCAGTGCCTAGAGGATTGCAATACAGTGGACGATATGAATGACAAGCTCGTGGAAACTGTCCATGCGGTCGGAGCTAAGTTCTGCAAGACCCGCAGAAGAACACAAAAACTCTCCGATCACACTCTTAATCTCATGGCTGTTAGACGGGAGATGAGGCTGCAATCGTCAACAGATTTGACAGCATACAGGCAGCTGAACAGACAGATCTCCAAATGCATGCGGCGAGACTTACGCAACTTTAATACTGCTCGTATTAAAGAAGCGATCGAACGGAACGAGGGCTCCAAAGTCTTTGCCAGAGATCTGTCTGCCAGAAGGAGCCAACTGTCAAGGCTGAAGACTGAGTGTGGCAACATCGTTTCCGGGACACCTGAGATTCTGAGTGAGATTGAGAGGTTCTATAGGCAGCTGTACACATCATCGTTGGAGCCACACGCAAGTGTGAGTAACGATCCAAGAGCAAGTCTTATCCGACACTATTCCGATGATATCCCGGACGTCAGTCTGAGCGAGATTAGATAGGCTCTCCACCACCTTAAAAACGGCAAGGCCCCGGGCGAGGATGGAATTACAGCGGAGCTTCTGAAAGCGGGTGGAACACCGGTACTTGAAGTCCTCCATGGTGGCATTACTCCGGAGGCGTGGAGCAGAAGCGCGGTGGTCTTGTTCTTTAAGAAAGGCGACAACGCTCTCTTGAAGAACTACAGGCCGATTTCCCTTCTGAGCCCCGTCCACGTGCTGTTTTCGAGAGACATTACGAATCGTCTCGCACGCAGACTCGACGACTTCCAGCCTCCCGAACAAGCCGGTTTCCGAAAAGGCTTCAGTACCATAGACCACATACATACCCTTCGGCAAATTGTACAGAAGTCCGAAGAGTACAATCTGCCACTTTGCCTGGCGTATGTGGACTATGAGAAAGCCTTTGATTCCGTCGAAATTTGGGCGGTGCTACAGTCTCTTCAGAGGTGCCTAGTTGACTGTCGGTATATTGAAGTGCTGAAGTGTTTGTACAGTAGGGCTACGATGGCTATCCGAGTACAGAACCAGAGTACGAAACCTATCCAACTGCAGAGAGGTGTAAGACAGGGTGATGTTATATCCCCGAAACTCTTCACCGCTGCGTTGGAAGACGTTTTCAAGCTACTGGACTGGAAAGGATACGGTATTAACATCAATGGCGAGTACATCACTCACCTT